GCCGGGCCCTGGGCGGGGCCGGGCCCTGGGCGGGGCCGGGGGCGGTGCAGGCCGGAGCGTTTGCTGCCATAGAGTCCTTGCCCAAGGAGGAGCTAGAGGGGTCGCCTGCGTGGCCCGAGCGCAGGGCTCTCCCGGAAGTCTCTCAGGGCTGAGGCGGAAACGGAAGGCTCCACGGGTGAGAGGGCCAAGTGACGGGCGGACTCGGGTGTACTAGGTGAGCAGGTGCGCGGCGAGGCCTCTAGCGTCGGCTTCGGGCCCGGTGGGCAAGGGAGGGCCCTGAGGACGCGGGTCCGAGTAGGAGGGGCCCAGTGGGCGGGGCCCGGAATCGACGGCTTAGAGGGGCGGGGTCGCGACGCTTCTGGGGCCAGGCCCCAGACCTGTGGCTTGTGGTAGCCGGTGCTTCGCCCCTGAACTCGCGGCGAGAGAACCTGAAGCCCTCCCTCATGGCGGTGCGAGCGTCTTTCGAGAACAACTGTGAGATCGGTTGCTTTGCCAAACTCACCAACACCTACTGCCTGGTGGCCATCGGAGGATCCGAGAACTTTTACAGGTGCGGCGGAGCGGGAGGGTTGCGGGAGTCGGGAGCTGCGGCTGAGAGCGTCCTGGCCGGTGACCTCCGAGTCTGTGTCCCTGCAGCGTGTTCGAGGGCGAGCTCGCCGATACCATCCCCGTGGTGCACGCGTCCATCGCCGGCTGCCGCATCATTGGGCGCATGTGTGTGGGTAAGGCATGTGGAGGATGCCTAGGAGGGAGTGGAGTCTCCACGCACCATTGATTATTAATCATATCCCTGGAGAGAATTGGGAGTGATCTAGGAGTTTCCAAGCCTTCACTTATTATTTCTGCCGACTATGGTGTCTCTCGGGGCTGAGTGGGACCCAGTCTTTGAGGAGAACAAGGAAAAGTTTTGTCAAGGATTTCTTGAAAATAATAAATATGAAGAACCACCAAAAGAGGTAACATAATGAAGTTCAGTGTCAAGATGGATCTCAGTTTGGACATGTTAGGGAGACACTGTCTAAGCGTGAAAAGGGCAGGCTTGCTCATTATTAGAAGCTTCCCTAGTACTTACAAGTCCCTATTCTCTAGTAGTATGGGAAAAAAAAAAAAAAAAACCGAAAAGAAAAGCAACAAGTGCTTTCACTTGTTCTTGAGAAACAATAATTAATCTTACTGTGACAAATGAGGAAATGAGGTTAGAGGGTCGGGGAGATGGCTCAGTGGAATAAGCGCTTCCCTGGCAAGCGCAAGGGACTGAGTTCAGTGGTGACTCACTAAGTACCACACCTAATGTGGAGGAGGAGTTTATATCCATCTGTCTTCTGCCACTGACTATGAACAAGCTCCTTCCTGGTTCTGAACATTCATTTATGCCTCTGGGAAATCATAGGCCCAGAGTCTGGGTTATCATGTTCTACACTTAATTTTTTAAAATCTTTTATTTATTTGGTACAGGGTCTCAATATGCAGCTCAGATTCTTAGTGATCCTCCTGTCTCAGCCTCTCCAGCGCTGGATTCCAGGCATGCACCACCATGCCCAGTTTTGGTGGCCTGCATGGCCTACGTGGCATGTGTTTTTGGGGATGGATCTGAAGTCCTTGAGCTTGACAGGCAGGCGCTTCGACTTCTGAACTTTCTCCCCAGCTCTCATGTTCTACATTTAAATCCTTAGTCCCCTTTTACATGTTTGTATTCTAATCGCTTAAGGTATCAACAGTGTGCATTCCTTCTTTTTTAAAGCTGGTTCTGTTGTCTTGTTCGTGCCACTTCTTGTTTCTTATTTCTGCAAACTGGGGTCAAAGGAATCTTATTTTTTTTTACTTTTATTTGAAAAATCATAAACATGATCTCTGTTTACTGATTCATTTCTTATATTTTGATCATAGAATCAACAAAAAACACTGATCTCTAATCATGGCCACTGTATTTGAATTAAATTCAAAGAACAGGGGGCCAGGGAGATGGCTCAGTGGAATAAGCACTTCCCTGGCAAGCTCAAGGGCCTGAGTTCAATCCCTGGTTCTGGGAAAAAACAAATTCAAAGAACAAAGATGAATTTAACCTAGCATCTTTACAAGGATAGAAAATTTTAGCTATAGTTTTACATAATATAATTAAAATTTGTTCTTTCTTGCTGCAGTAGAGGTTTTATGCAGATATTTCAGAGTGGACCCCATTGGTCTCTTAGTAATAATGTCACTGAATAAATAGGAGCATATATATTTCTTTTGGGTCTATAACCCTTACAATTAAATATTCTACATGGGCATTGTCTATTCTCTAGTATAAAAGTTAGTCACAATTTATATGACTGTTTGGTGTAGAGGTAATGCTACATGATTATCTAAAGTGGTCGACCAGTTCACTCTTTTCAGTGTATAAGTTTCATTTGTTCCATGTTTTTTATAGCATTTGGGATTGACATTGAATTTAAATTTTAGCCACTCTTAAATAACATTATGTATGCATGGTTTTTAAGGAACAAAATATATAACTAATGACATAGGCCATTTCCACAAGTCTTTTTTCCCTCCATGATGAGGAAGTGAGAAAGCTTGTTTGGATAGATTCCTGAGTCATTTTGGGCCGGGACAGGGGACTTGGTACTGTTGTGTGATGTATGGATCACTGGGTTAGAGGGCTGGGGTTGAGACTAAAGCCATCCTGGAGAATCGTAATTGGGCTGGGCTGGGTTGGGTTGTGTCTTGATCGCTGAGGTCCCAGAAGCATCTCCTTATTTACAGCCTGTGTTTGCCTCACCCTCCAATTTGGGTCTCTCCAGGGAACAGGCATGGGCTCCTGCTGCCCAACAACACCACTGACCAGGAGCTGCAGCACATTCGCAACTGCCTCCCAGACTCAGTGCAGATCCGGCGGGTAGAAGAGCGACTTTCAGCCCTGGGCAATGTTACCACCTGCAATGACTATGTGGCCTTGGTCCACCCAGACCTGGACAGGGTGAGGTAGCCCAGTTTGGCTCAAGAGCCACAGGACTAGCCTAGGCTGTGTTGAGCTATTGTTTCTACCCCACAGTCAGAAGTTCGCCTCATCTTTTGTGGTTTTCGTGTATATCAGGCAGTCAGTAGGAACAGCAGCCATAACAGAGGCCTTGATGGTATGGTCAGTGTCAGAAGCTGGAAGACCATTAGTCCTTCAGGATTAGGAGGTTTGGAGGAGTGGCCAGATGTGAGCCAGCACGGAGGACTGGCAGTCCAACTGGAGGGTGTGTTAGAGAGAAGAGGGTGAGATGGGGGCAAGCCCAGTGTTCAGGGCATGCTTGGGTCTGAGAGCTCCAGGGCTGGCCCAGACTCTGTGCTAAACTGTAGTCTGTGGTTTCCTGAGTGAGGCTTCCATGTGTAGCTGTGTAGCAGAGAAATGAGGGCCTCTGGGTTCTGGCATGAAGGGTTCCTGTTTCTTGCCTGCCTGTCCTGAGCCCTGAGCAGCAGTATCTTTGACTGACAGGAGACAGAAGAAATCCTGGCTGATGTGCTCAAGGTGGAAGTCTTCAGACAGACAGTGGCTGAGCAGGTGCTAGTAGGAAGCTACTGTGTCTTCAGCAATCAGGGAGGACTGGTGCATCCCAAGACTTCAATTGAAGAGCAGGATGAGCTGTCCTCTCTTCTCCAGGTGCCCCTCGTGGTAAGACTTCCTGTGGCCTGGCCCCTGCCCTTGCTGAGACAGATCCTTTGCCCAGCCTTCTGGAATCTGGGTCCTCACCTGCCCTATTTTGGGATCAGGGTTCAGATTCAGGAAGCAGGCTTTGGGAAGAGCCCTCATGGGGGAGGGGAGAGACTTGGCTGCTGTGCTGTGCCGTGCCCATGCCAAGCCCAATCTTGGCAGGCGGGCACTGTGAACCGAGGCAGTGATGTGATTGCTGCCGGGATGGTGGTGAACGACTGGTGTGCCTTCTGCGGGCTGGATACAACCAGCACGGAGCTGTCGGTGGTAGAGAGCGTCTTTAAGCTGAATGAAGCCCAGCCTAGCACCATCGCCACCAGCATGAGGGATTCCCTCATTGACAGGTACGCGGGGTCAGAGTATGGGCTTTCTTTTCCTTTGAGGGTAGGGAAGCAGATGCCACCTGTGCTGGGAACTGAATTGTTTCTCCTGGCAGGTGGTCCTCACATGCAAGCATGTACCCACACACTGCTGAGCAATCACAGGACACAGCCAGCTAGCATTTCTTGAGCATGTGCTCATCTTTTGCTGATTCAGCTCTCGAGGCAGAACTTTCTACTGGTCCTTCTTATAGTTTTACGTTTTTTGGGGTTTTTTTTTCCTCTGTAGTCCTGGTAATGGAACCCTGAACTTGTACTGAGCTATATCTCCAACGGTTTTTTTTTTCCAATAAGACACAGTATCTATCTCACTTAGTCACTAAGTTGCTCAGGTAGGGCTGAAACCTGTGAATTTCTTCCCTCAGCCTTCCAGAGTCCTAGGATTAGAAACAGTTACCATCCTGTTTGGCTTGTCCTCATTTGATCTCTGGCCATGTTTTGCAATTTCAGTTTCTTATGGGTTAGTATCTGCAGCCAGTGACATAGGACCTCAGCCAGAATGGAGCTGTTGTGGCCACTATAAAATGTTAAGGAGACATGAGGATTTGGGCACCTACCTTTAATTCAAGCACCCAGGAGACTGAGACAGGATGATCACTGCGCTTTCTAGGCCAGCCAGGCCTACATAGTGAGTTCAAGGCTGACCTGGACCACATAGTATGACCCTGTCTCAAAAATAAACGAACACAAGGCCAAGGAGAACTGTGATGGATGCTAAGGGAGTGTTGATTGGGGTAGCTGTTACATCAGAGTCACAGTCTGCTTGTTTTTCTTCCCCGTGCTTTCAGGGCAGTTTTGGCTGGCTTGAGTTGTGGGGATCCAACCACAGCAACCTAAGCCTGACTGCTTTTTTGAAGCAGCCACTTAAAGAACTGAGCTAAGGGGCAGGACCCCAGTGTGGTTGTTTTTGGATTAAACAAAATACACAGGAGGCCCCAGCCCTGAAGATCACAAAGTGTGAGGCATTAGAAGAGCAGCAGGTGCATGGTATCCTCCCTCCCTCTCCCTCATCCTTCCCTGAAGATCTTTGGCAGGCCTGTCCTGCCCTGAGCAGACTACAGCACTGGTGGTGAACCTATGACATGTGTATCACTAAGTTCTAACAAGGTTGCCATCACTGCTCTAGAAGATAGAAACCCCAAAGTGGAACAAGCACCAAGTAACAGTCTGTATGGGTACAGTTCCCCTTCCTTTTTCTTCCTTTGGCTGTATTGGTTCATCCTTGTCAGCAAGACTGTTTGGGGGATAGTGAGACAGTTGATTCCTATATGCTGCTCCTGAGGACTCACAGTGTAGAGAACAAAATGTTGTGGCCACATATTTGAATGCCTTCCAAGAAGAATAAAAAGTGCCTAGTTGTCTTCAGATGGGGAACATGGGAACTACCGATGAGATTTCTTGGATTGTGGAAGTTTCATAAAGAAAGGATCATTTAATTTGGTTTTAGGGAGTGAGTAAGGTATTTGGATAAGTAGAGGCAAATAGAGAAGCAACTCAGGTAGACACAGATTGGACAAAGTGGGATGTGTGAAGGGGAAGGTAGTGCTGAGGACTTTGACAACATCAGCAATTTTTGACTGTTAGCGTGTGGTTTGGAGTTTAGCAGATGTTGGGATGCTTGTTTATGTAACTTCCTGGTATGCATGCTCAGATTCTGATTCTGTATCCTGGAGTGGGATCCAAGGTGAATTTTTGTTTTGTGGGTAGTATTGGTGAGCTAAACCCTTTTTTATTTTGAGAGAAGAGCTCTCTAAGTTGTAAAATTGGCCAGGTTTGGCTCAAGCTTGGGATTCTCCCGCCTCAGCCCTCCTAGAGTACTAAGATTATAGATGCATGCCACCATGCTTGGTTTTTGTCTCCTATTATTTTTTTAAAATAAGTTACCGTGTTGATTCTGATGTGGATATTTTGGGATCCATACTGACTGCCATTGCTACCAGTAAACAAGTAAAAAGTTCTGGTTTTCTCCACTATTGAGGCACTCAGGAAGAAATCTAGTGCCTGCCGCATTCTGGGCCAATGCTGTACCACTAAGCTACATCCCTACCAGGCAAACTCTTGTTAAGTAACCTTATATACCAGGCAGTAGTGATGTGGTGATGAGTAATAATATTTCCTGTTCTGTTGCAACATTGATCTTTTTTTTTTTTTAATTTTATTTATTTATGTGTGTGTGTGTGTGTGTGTGTGTGGCCAGCTCAGCCCACCAGGGGGCGGGGCTGGCTGGCATGTGGTGCTGGGGGATTGAACCGCAGTCCCTGTGTTTTGCTAAGCTTGTTCTAAGTAGGTGCCTTAGACCACTGAGCCATCTCACCAGCCCCAATTTATCATTTAATAAAACAACAAAATTCATTTTAGCAGCTTTTAAGAAAAATTTCAGTGAAGTGACAGTTGATGCCTACCAAAAACTAAAGCAAATGCTGCATGTAATGGCAAAACTTAGAAACTGCTGAAGTTTGGCAGAAGCGCTACATTCCCCACTAAGAATCAGCCTTTTTCTGGTACTGTACTCCTCACTTAGTAAGTTAGATAATATACAGAAATGGGTATGGGGGGGGGAACTACCCATTGAGGCCCTCCTCCTGACCCTCTCTTGGACAGGAGCTTTCTTTCTCTCAGTAAATATATTCTGCTCATAACCTTCGTTTGTTCCTAAAATTCATTCCCTGTATTATTTTGGAGGTTTCCACCGAGATCACTGGACGGAGGTATGAGTTTGCTTTTCTTTCATAAATTCTGGATGGGGAGTTACTTAGGTAACAAATTTTTCCCACCTCCTGCCCACCTAAGCGAGTTCTCATTCTCTCTACCTTAGCCCCGCATGGTTTTACACTATAAAAGTCCCTGGAAGAGACAGCTTCCCCAGGGAACTACCCACTTGGGCCCCACTCCTGTCCCTTCTTGGACAGGAGCTTTCTTTCTCTCAATAAATATAGTCTGCTCATAAAAAAAAAAAAAAGAAAAGAAAAAAAGAAATGGTTATTGGAACAGAAACAAGAACACTCACTACTTTGTGTGACATGTTTGGTTTGAGTTATGCATAAGCCCTCAGGTTGAAGATGGCAGGTGGGTGATTACAATATATACCCAGTTTTATAATCATGCGTATGATTTTTTCAAAAAGAACATTTTTGGGCTGGTGAGATGGCTCAGTGGTCTAAAGCACCTATTTAGAACAAGCTTAGCAAAGCACAGGGACCACAGTTCAATCCCCCAGCACCACATGCCGGCCAGCCCCGCCCCCTGGTGGGCTGAGCTGGCCACACACACATAAATAAATAAAATTAAAAAAAAAAACAAAAAACATTTTCAAGGGGGTGCAGTGACACAGGCCTGTAATTCTTATACTCTCAGAGGCTGAGGCAGGAGAATAACAAGATCAAGCCCAGCAAGGGCAACTTACTGAGACTGTATCTCACAATAAAAATATAAGAATGTTGTCAAATAATATTCAGAACTGATTTGTTTTTCAGCTTAGTATTCTTAGTCTTTCTTTAGTTATCACTGAAAGGGGGCATTTGGAAAAGGAAGCCAAAGTTCTGGCCCCATCCCTGCTGTTAGGTACTTATCTTCTAGGTACAGCCTTCTGTTGGAGCAAGCACCCTTTTATAATATTGTGAGATTCTATGAAGAATAAATAATTAAGCAAGTTGATACAACCTGAGCAGAAGAATCCATCTTAGTCTTTATTTATTTATTTAAAATTTTTTAAAAATTTTATTTGTGTGTGTGTGTGTGTGTGTGTGTGTGGCCAGCTCAGCCCACCAGGGGGCGGGGCTGACTGGCATGTGGTGCTGGGGGATTGAACCACAGTCCCTGTGCTTTGCTAAGCTTGTTCTAAGTAGGTGCTTTAGACCACTGAGCCATCTCACCAGCCCCATCTTAGTCTTTAAACACTGAGAACTCCAGTCTACTGTGTAACATGGGATGCAGTCAGACCAGCATCCAGATGGGGCCAGGCTCTGAGGGTGGCTCCTCTGGGCTTAGCTAGAACACAGGTCTAGGGCTGGGGGTGAGGTGTGCCCGGTGAATCACACCTGACAGTGCTCCTCCTTCTCTTGCAGCCTCACCTGAGTCACCTTCCATGCTGTGCCCCAGCTCGTTCCTCCCTGCCTCACCTAGTCTGTACTTGCTGCTACCAGGAAGGTGTGGCAGAGGGATCAGTGAAACAGTGGCTAGGGGCCCAGCCCTGCACCAGTGCCATCTTCTGAATCTGTTGTTCCTGGAAAAGCCCGCCATGTCACTCTGGCTGTCAGTGCTTTGGCTAATGGATGAGGATGCTGCTGTTCTGGGGGACTCCATTAAAGGGCACTTGCCTCTGGCCATTCTGAGTGTGCTATTTGTGGGCATCAGCCTGTGCCACACCTCTCCTTTTTAATCATTCTGGGAAGGCTGAAATGGAGAGCCATACACACAGCCTTCTCTATCATTATCAACAGGAGGCTTCATCCCAGGGCTAGCAGAGAAAGCGCCCTCCTCTATTTGCGCATTTTTCTAGGTAAGGTTTATTTTTTTGTTTTTGGTGCTGAGGACTGAAGTCAGTGCTTCCAGCTTGCTAGGCAAGTGTTCTATTGCTGAGCTAAATCCCTAGCCCTAGTTGGCACATTTTTCTATCCAACTTCTGTCCGTTGTTTTCTGGTTTTTAGAGGATAAGAATCTTATTCATCCAGGCACTCTTGTCCTTTTTGACCTAAGGAGGATGGAGGTGTCTGGCTTGGCCCCCAGGCCTCTTGTGGCTTAGGTCAGTTGTGAGCTTATGGAGAGTACAAGCAGTGCCATGAGTCTCTGGATTATACTGAGATAGAACCTTCAGGTCTTTGTGCTGGGGCACAGGGAGCAATGGGTGTTGATCACCTTCTTTGGTTCTTGCCCTTGGATAGCAAATTGCTGATATCCATCTTTGTGGCCTGAAGACTAGATCCCTGCAGGGTTTATCATACCCACCAGAGTAATCTTGATCAGCCTGATTTCTACCTACAGGTGGTTCAGCTGCCTGAAGTGAAGTGGGAGCAAGGCTTGGGCCTGGTAAGAGCAGGGTCTGGATGAGTGAAGACAAGACCTGGGCTACAGCCAGCTGGAATTCAGCAAATGTGGCCCATTCCCAAGTGAAGGGGCCAAGGAGATGGCTCAGTAGAATAAGAGCTTCCCTGGCAAGCACAAGGGCCTGAGTTCAATCCCCGGTTCTGCAAAAAAAAAAAAAAAAAAAAAAAACCATTCCCAAGTGAGTCTGGGCCCAGGACAGATTCTGTGCTCAGGTAGCATGGGCTGTGGGAATGACAAGGGGCCAACACAAACTGGATCTTGGGACCTTGGGATTCGACCTCAACACCAGTTATCAACTGCAGGGGGCCAGGCAAGGATCTGAACCTGCCCTCCCCACTGGTAGTAGCAGTGATCTGTTTGGGGATGAGAAATGGCTGATCCTGGGCCACAGCAAAGGCCTCATCATTAAGTTCAATGATGTTTTGAAATAATTAGGGGTCCTATCCCTGCTCCCATCAAAGGCAGATCATTTACTGAGACTTGACTTGCACAGGACCAGTCCTTGGGATTCGACCATGAGATTGGAGATGCATAGGGAGGGGTGGCATTGAGAAACCCAGGTCAGACAACATTCTTGTCTTAAGATCCTTCACAAAATGAAGCAGTGAATTATTCAATACCTCATTTGTGCACCTGTACTGGCCACTTCACACCAGTTATTCTCAGCCTTACAACATCCTACAAGGTGGACATCCTGTTGGTATACAATTACAGGGTATTATACCCCTACTTTATAGATGTGGGAGTTGAAGCCTGGGGTATCTGGCTAGAGTAGTTGGAAACAAGTGCAAATAAATGGCAGAATAGATAGCTCTGTCAGACCTGTGTTCTCTGTCTCAGATGACACTATAAACTGATATGTTCCCATTCATGTAGAATACAAACACTACAGAGATGCCCCTAATGCTCACACCATATACATGGCACACTGATAGGGTAGGGTGTTCAGCTACAAACTAACTGGTCATGTAAAGGTATGCTTAGATCCCTGTGCTAAACCCAAACATTCAGAACTCAGAAACTTAGTGAATTACTAAATATGTAGGGCCAGCCCAGTAGGTCAGTGGATTAAAGTGCCTGCAAGCAGGCACAGGGGCCAGAGGTTAGATCTCTGGGCCTGCCTTGCCGGCTCCACTCCAGAGGAGCACTGAGAGCAATTAAGCCTGGCCATGGTGGCGCACACCTGTAATCTCAGCTCTTGGGAGGCTGCAAACGGGCGCGTCATTACAAGTCCCACCTATTAGACCCTGAACACCCTGTAGACCCCTAAAATACAAAAAAAAAGGGAGGGGGGTGGGAATATAGTTCCCTGGGCTTAATCTGCAGCACTGCTGAAAATATAAATGATTAAATGCATGCTTTTCAGTGCATATCATGGACCCCCTTAAGATCACTAAAACACACAATTGAGCTATAGCATATACTATTCCCACTTGGAGGCAAAGGCAGAAAGGTTACAAATTCCACACCAGCCTGTGTAACTTAGATCTCATCTCAAAAGGTGGCTAGGGGTGTACCACAGGGTAAAGGTTCATTCTCTCTCTCTCTCTCTCTCTCTCTCTCTCTCTCTCTGGAACAACATGTGGAACATGGGAAGGGTAAGGGAAAAAATGGAAACAGCCTTTATAAATAGGAAAGCGGGGATGGGAGGGGAAAATAAGATATGTTTGGGTACAGATTCAATGAATGGGATCAATATGTATGACAAATATGTACTAATGAAAAATTATAAAGAGAAAACCCAAAAACAACAAAAATACCCCCCACTGAGTTGGTCTGAGGTGAACGGGGGTTTGCTGGATACATGCACACATCACCATCATGTACCTGAGGCTCTCTTAAAGCATAGGCCACAACAAATCATGGGTCTTTTTCCTGTGCTCATCACCTGCCTGGAACTGTATACATGACACAAATCAATAAAAGGACATGGGCAGATGAAGCAGCAAGGTGGAGTATACTAAGAGACACCACTTAATGGAAATACAATTGGGGGTTGGAAAAGGACACCATTCAGGCTGATTATGTAAGCAGAGGATCCCCTGGAGGAGAAAGGATACCCCAAAAAGGGCTTTAGGCAAGGGGTGCCAATGTCCTCAATGTGACATTCTGAGACTGTCCAAGAGAGCAAGGACCATGGCCAACACCACTCTGTCAAGAACAGAAGGTGGCTGCTGGGTGAGACAGCCTGTGTGACTGCCACATGGAGGAAGCATGTCAGTCCCCAGCCTCGCCCAACCTGGACCCCGGCCTCCCCATCCAGTCCTTAAGAACCTGCTTCATGCATTCCTCAGTCTTCAGCCTGTTTTCCTCTGCTGATACAGCCAAGCGTCCTGGAACCTGTGATCTGGTCTCCCTTCTTCCTACTGGATACTTCTCCCGGGTGACGCCATCCATCCCCGCTTGAGCTCCTGCTCTCCCTCCTCAGCCCTTCATTCTCGCCTGGGCTCCACACCCTGACCTCAGGGTGCACAGCGAGCGGTAGTCCGCCCCTCCCCTAAAGCCGCCCTTCCACCGCCCTTCCACCTCGTGCTCCTTTGAGTAACCACGCCCCTCCTCAGGCCACCTGGGAGGCACTCTGGCTCCTCCTCTCCCTCGTGTCACACCTACAGACACCGGTCCTACTCTCCTGAA